ACATGGCATGGAAAAACTTGAGTTCTGTCCATAGGCATGTCCCTGCATGCCTTGCTGAGTCACAAGGTGTATCTGCCTACTCTCAATGGGTCAGTTGTATAGCTGATGGTCCTTAATGGGCCATCAAGCAGGCTAGGCAGTGCTGATGCCAAATTGTCTGGGGTGTCACCCAGAAGCATAGCACAAGTTTGAAATACAGACAATATAGAGACAATACTTATAACTTTAAATACAAAAATGATACATGCATAGAGATAGCATAATCATAACCAGAAAATCATAACCTTTTCATAGACACCTTACTTGACCTCTTTTGTACAAGATTTGGTGCAACTATATGACTTTGGTTGCAACAATGATCTATACTGTCACAGTTCATGTCAATAATGTCACACGCCCCTTCAGGTAGTTGAAGGCTGCTATCAAATCTCCCCTCACTCGTCTCTTCTGGAGACTAAGTAAGCCCAGTTCCCTCAGCCTCTCCTCTTAAGTCATGTGCCCCAGCCCCCTAATCATTTTTGTTGCCCTCCGCTGGACTCTTCAATTTGTCCACATCCTTTCTGTAGTGGGGGCCCAAAACTGGACATAATATTCCAGATGTGGCCTCACCAGTGCCAAATAGAGGGGAATAATCACTTCCCTCACGCTCCTACTTTTGTAGCCAGCATTGCAAGGTATTCACATGCCAGATATGCTAAACATTTGTTTGCCCCTTTGTGCTTTGGCCACCATTCCAGAGGTCATGCTTCCATGCTGATGACGCTCGTTAAAAAAAATTGTGTGTTAATTAAATTTGTGACTGAACTCCTTGGGGGAGAATTGTATGTCCCCTGCTCTGTTTTATCCGCATTCTGCATATATTTCATGTTATAGCAGTCTCGGATGATGACCCAGCACATGTGGTTCATTTTAGGAACACTTTCACTGCATATTTGACAGAATGCAAAGAAGGTACCAATGTGAGATTTCTAAAGATAGATTTTGGAAGGCACTTGAGTGCTGTAGCTGAGAGGGATGAGGTGTGGAGTTTGCTTTCAGAAGTCTTAAAAGAGTAACACTCCAATGCAGAAACTACAGAAACAGCAAAACCACCAAAAAAGAAAAGCAACCTTCTGCTGGTGGCATCTGACTCAGATAATGAAAATGAACATGTGTCGGTGCACACTGCTTTGGATGTGATATATATCTACCAATGTGAAATATGCCATCATGTGCCAGCAATGCCCCTCTGCCATGTACATTGGCCAAACCGGACAGTCTCTACGCAAAAGAATTAATGGACACAAATCTGACATCAGGAATCATAACATTCAAAAACCAGTAGGAGAACACTTTAACCTGTCTGGTCACTCAATGACAGACCTGTGGGTGGCAATTTTGCTACAGAAAAGCTTCAAAAACAGACTCCAATGAGAAACTGCTGAGCTTGAATTGATATGCAAACTAGATACAATCAACTTAGGCTTGAATAGAGACTGGGAATGGCTGAGCCATTACAAACATTGAATCTATCTCCCCATGTAAGTATTCTCACACTTCTTATCAAACTGTCTGTACTGGGCTATCTTGATTATCACGTCAAAAGTTTTTTTCTCTTACTTAATTGGCCTCTCAGAGTTGGTAAGACAACTCCCACCTTTTCATGCTCTCTGTATGTGTATATATATATATCCTCAATATATGTTCCATTCTATGCATCCGAAGAAGTGGGCTGAAGCCCACGAAAGCTTATGCTCAAATAAATTTGTTAGACTCTAAGGTGCCACAAGTACTCCTGTTCTTTTTGCTTTGGATTGTTATCAAGCAGAACCTGTCATCAGCATGGATGCATGTCCCCTGGAATGGTGGTTGAAGCATGAAGGGGCATATGAATCTTTAGCACATCTGGCACATAAATATCTTGCAATGCCAGCTACAACAGTGCCATGAGAATGCCTGTTCTCACTTTCAAGTGACATTGTAAGCAAGAAGTGGGCAGCATTATATCCTAAAATAAACTTGTTTGTCTGAGCGATTGGCTGAACAAGAAGTAGGACTGAGTGGACTTTTGGGGTCTAAAATTTTACATTGTTTTATTTCTGAATGCAGTTTATTTTGTACATAATTCTACATTTGTAAGTTCAACTTTCATGATAAAGAGATTGCACTATAGTAGTTGTATTAGGTGAATTGCAAAATACTATTTTTTTTGTTTTTTTTACAGTGCAAATACTTGTAATAGGGTGACCAGATGTCCCGATTTTATAGGGACAGCCCCGATATTTGGGGCTTTTTCTTATATAGGCTCCTATTACCCACCACACCCTGTCCCGATTTTTCACACTTGCTATCTGGGCAGCCTAACTTGTAATCAAAAATAAATATACTGTATACTTTGTATTCTGTATTGTAACTGAAATCAATATATTCGAAAATGTAGAAAACATCCAAAAATATTTAAATAAATGGTATTCTATTATTGTTTAAAAGTGCAATTAATCACACAATTAATCGCTATTAATTTTTTTAATCGCTTGACAGCCCTAATTTCTGTGAAACATTTTGGTTTCAATTAATTGTCATTTTCCAATGAAAACCTCAGAAAATTCCCAACCAGTTCTAGCTGCAAACTCCTTTTCCCTAGGGCTTTGGGAAACAACTTACTTCAGTTTAGAGTCTGATTTGCTGGCTCCCAACTGACCGTCAGCTTTCCTCTCTTTGACTGATTCCAGCTGTCACAGTCTTTTAGACTCCCCACCCTACTCCTGCCCCTATCTCTGGTCCTTCTGACATTACTCACTGTATTCCCCATTCCAGAAGCTTCTGTTCTCTCTAGAACATTGCTGCCAGTCTGCCTCTTATATGGGGGAGTATTCAGTATCAAAGTCATTTATTCTCTTTCACTGATTATGAAGCCTAACGGCTTTAAATTGAACTGAGGGAAGAACTGGTCTCAGTGTATTGCTCACGAAAGCTCATATGTTCATTATGGCAAACCTAAAATATGTACTCCAGATATCTGAGGTGTAAGGTTACAAGAAGTGTAAGATTA